TGGAGGGGAAGCATGAAGGCTGCATGTCACCCCTCCAATCTTTCACACCTCTCAGAATCTGTCCAGGTAGCTGTCTTTCCAGCTCCTTCCCAAGCAGAACAACAGCAGCAACTGATGGCCCTGCTGTTCTGTGACCCACGGCCACAAACCTGCTGAGCACACTGATAGGGACCATTAAATGCTGAATGAGCCAGCATCACAGGCGCAGAGCTAGTACCAGCCACTGCCACCTGTTGCCAAAGGTCAGGATATCTGGCAAACAAGGAAAACACCCTGACAAGGTCTGTGCGGTTGCCAGAATAAGAGAATGCAACACTGTAAGACAATTCCTCAGCACTCAGTGATCACCCCTAGTCCCCAGCCTGTGAATCAGTGGTGTGTTGCTCAGATGTAGATGTCTAATCTACACAAAAAAAACACACTAGAAAAGTACAAAATACATTAAAAAGCTGTATGAAGAGGGGCCCAAATGTCTCTTCAAATATCCCCTGCACAAACTGTTTGAGGACAAGATCAGTGTCCTTCAAAGGGTCCCAAACAATGCTTAGGCTCCCAGCCAGCCAGAAAGATGGGGGGGGGGGGGGGGAGGGGAGAAAGGTGTTTATAAAAATCAGTCAGTTGAAAGAAGGAGGTAAAAACCTGGCCTCGATCAGACAGTAGAATTTGGGCCTGTTGACCAGTTTTAAGGCAGTCACCTTTCTCCATTATGTCTACTTTGCCAGGCCACACTGCTGCAAATACTCCATAGGCCCAGCTTCCTGAGACAACACACTCCCAACATCAATGGGGCTGGCTGAGTACTTCATAAGTGCTTCTTGGAGAGGGGCAGAAGGCATCAGCCTTCTGCAATAAGGACAGCCTCCCAGCTTGCAGGTGCTCAGAGCAATGACAGCTCTGGAGTTACCAAGTTCATAAGCAGGCAAACACGGCAGGCAAACAAAACAGCTCCCTGGAAAAACTACTATAGCATTGACAATCTCTGGAGTGCCTGTGTTTCAATGAAAACATTCACATGACTATAAAAGATAACTGCTCACGCACTGTTTTAATTATCTAAGCAAGCTTTCACTGGACACTAGAAAAGCAGCATTCTCCCTTTCTGTTCCAGGCCACATGCCCAGAAATACAAAAGCCTGTCTTGAATTTGCTTACAACTTCCTTCTCTGCTAGCTCCACTTATGGCTTGACACTGCTCTGTAGCACACACAGTGCCCACTCCTAGTACACTGTTTTGCCAGCAGGTCTACAGGGACACTGCCCCAAAAAACACAGCTGCTTTTAGATCCTTTTCTTTCACAGGACATGGAAAGGATCCAGGTTCATTTTATTTGCATTATGAAAAAGCAAGCAGCAGGAACAGATAAGCTCATAGTAATAAATAAGCTATGGAGATAAGAGAAAAAAAAATTGGGAAGAGTTAATCTCTGCAACCGTTCAGCCAGACTGGGAGGACTGGGGGACCTCTGCAGGCTCCAGAGGGAAATCCTTGACCAAAATGAGGATTGACAGGACTGCCTCAAGTTGCTCTCAGTATCTCATAGCACTCATTTAACCTGTATTAAAGCCCTGGAAAGGAATGTCTCCACAGGCTGTGGCCATTAGACTCCTTTGACCCCTGCAGCTTTTAGGCAACTTTGAAATACATTTTTGGTTTCTTGTGGAGAATAATTACCAGTCCCATATACACGCCATCTGCAACATCTACTGCCTTGCTTTTGCTTTTGTCTTTTCAGCTCAGCTCATAGTAGCAGCAAACTCTATGGCAGGCTCTGTTGTAAGCACAGAGAGAAGAAATACTATTACTACCTCCTAAATCCTGCACAGCAGCTGAACAGAATAGGTTAAGGAAACAGGTTAAGAGTTTGTATTTTCAGAGCACAGAAATTGTCCTTCCTCAAAGGTAACACTGCCTTCAAAAATCCCTTGCAGAACAGCTCTTGGAGGGCACACAGCAAGCACAGACAAATGCCTTGCACCCTTTGCAAAAAGGAATAGGTAGTGTGGGCTAGGCACCTTAGAGGTACTGACTGTTGCTGGGCTACAGGTGACTATTGGGACAACTTCTTCAGCTATTTTTAGTAATTATATTTCCTTCTCTCGCTTAGTTCATCTTCGAGATCCCAGAACTTAATCATAGCCTCTTCTGTAAAAAGTCATTTTGAAGAGACCTATCCTGAACGTAGCAATGGGACTTGTTCCTGGTACCATAGAGAGACTGAGGAACAGATGGGCTACAAGACACTTGGTACTATTGCAGTTAGTATAAAAAAAATGAGTTTTCTTTACGGAAATCTGTCAATTTCAGTGTTTCTTAAGAATGCTAAAATTGCTATAATAAACAAAACTACTTTATAAATGCCGGATCTTCATGGTTATAGCTCACAACTAAAAACTGTTTAACATTAAAGCATCATGATAAAGAGTATATCACAGTCTAACACAATTTGTTCACTTCTGTATGGAGAAAAGACTTCATGGCTTAACTGCATTTAAGTAACACAATTGCCTGCAGATGGGCCTGGAAGAGCTGAACCACTGAGCTCCACTGCTACCGCCGAAGCCACACACCTTGGGCACACACTGTGACGGGGTGACTGAATCCTGGACACAATTGAGCTTAAGGAATCCTGCTGCTAGTTCCAGCTGTACACAATGCATTTATTGTCTTTTCACTTAAGGTTTTCTATTAAGCTGTTCTGGACACTGGTTTGAAATCCTGCTATAGACTTGACTCTGGATATAGTGAAGTCCTTTTAGGGCTTCCAAAGGGGGCCGGTGCATCTCCCTGGGGTCTGTTGTCTCTAAGCGAAGTGGACAGGAACAGCTTAATGGGAGCTGGGGTTGAAAGAGGACAATGCTGCAGACAGCCCAGCTTATCATAGAATCATCAAGGTTGGAAAAGACCTTCAAGATCATCAAGTTCAACAACCCACCCTACAGTCCCTAACCACTAAACCACCTTATAAAATACCATGTCTAGCCCTTTTTCGAACATCTCCAGGGATGGTGCCTCTACCACCTCCCTGGGCAACCTGTTCCAATAGCTTCTGAAAGTGCAGGGACTCTTGCCCAGGAGAGAAGAGACACTGCGGTATGTAGTCCCTGCCTTGAGAAACAATGGTGTTCCAGCACTGCAGCACCTAATAAAATGTATTTGTTTGCCAGAAGGCGAAGAGAAACCTAAATCGTTTCCATTTTTCTTCCTTTTATGAACAGCTGCATCACACTGTCTTGCATTTGTGTATAAGAGAGGGGAATGTAATTTTCTGCACCCCAGACAGAGGTGTGATGTATTAGGGTGCATCACAATGTATTCTTGCAGTCACCTAAGCCCTGGAAAGACAGAAGGAAGACCTGCTCTGTCTCAAGACTGCACTGTTCAGCACCAGCTGGATTTGCTGCTTGCTTCTTGCAGCTTAGGGATCCATTGGCAGCCTGAATCAGTCTCACTAAATAGGTAACTATATGAACAAGCCTTTAAATACAGAATGGCTTAGGTACTTCTTATTATAAACAGTAGAAGTAATGGAACCTCTTCTTTCTTTCTGCAGGCTGTGTGGGTAAATTGAGCCAAAAATATTAAGCTTAAAACTCCACTGGGGACATGTATGGACTTTTAATGGCTAGATTTTAATGGTGTTTCTGTGGGCATATAAAGGTGCTATATGCTAAATTAAACCCATGCCCAGGATACAGCTGACAGAAACTGAGAGCTTTGTCTCCAGGCTTTTGAGTGCATTCTACATCCCTTTCATGGGAAGGGAAAAGAACAGAGACCCCACTGCAGGAATCAACAGACCTCCTGCAACAGCAGGTATACTTGGCTTTGTAAACCAAGAAAACCCTTCTTTGGGATGCGACACCTATGTCACAATATAACACAATTACCTACAAGTGTGTGTGTATATACACATATTTATATATACATGTGTGTATACATGCCTATTTACCTAAATACTGTATTTATTTATTTATACATGCACACATCTACAAACACAACCATTTAGGTATCTGCTTTTCATGTTCCAAAATACCTGACTTGTCTGGAAAATCTAACCCAAAAGGCTTGTTTTAAAGCTACAGGCTGCCTATTCATAACTGGAGCCATTTTACCATACACACACTTTCACAACCCTTTGATTTTAAAATTTGTTAAGTCCTACCTTTATTTATATTATAAAACCTTCGTGGCACTAGTTGCTTTTCTTTTCCATAAGTGTCCAGCCCACTTCTGGCATACACACAATAAATAATGGAGATGGAGACACTTGGTTCAGTGTTTCCAAAGTCCAGAGCATAACCTCTTCCAGTGCAATACTTGAGAAAAGGAAAAAGTATCACTTGCTGAAATACTGCTTCATATAGCACAGGGGATGCCTGCCCTAATCTGCTCACTAGTCTTCCTGTAACGCACACAAAGCTGGCAGAGATGCTTTAATATTGACAAGCACAAATTACATGCTTGAGTTTTTGTTAATTGTTTATAGATTGAATAGCCAGCATTTCTTAACAAAACAGAATGGAGATCTCAGGCCTCACAATAAAGCTTTGTACACCCTCTCTTTAATGGCCACTCTTTAACTTTTATGAAAACTGCTTTTGTTTGAATTTGCCATTCTCCCAATAGTTTTAGCATTCAAAGCAGGTTTTAGTTTGGGAAAATCAGGTAAGGAAACTATCAGAAGTACATAACAATTACATTATTTTTTCCTGAGTCTAACTGAACAAAATAGAAGCAAGAAGTAAAGCAAGCTTAGTTTTTCAAACCATGAAAGGAACAGAAGTCAAGCTTAAAAACTGATCCGTAGGAAGACAAACAGAGGTATATCAAAACCAACAGAGCAATGCTGATTTCTGTCATCTTAAGAGCTACCTAACACACTTGGGGATTTTTGGGAGAGTTGTTTAGGGTTTTTTTAAACATGCAGCTCCTCTGTCAAGATATTTAAAACAAACAGAAAAATCCTCATAGCAACAGAAACAATAGCAACAGCACAAACCTCTGTTTCCTTGGATGTCCTCTCCCTTGGCTAAGGCCAGGTAAGAAAGCAGGGTGCAGTTATTGTCCTGACCAGGCACGGGTGGCTGCTGCAGGGAGGTGCCTGTGAAGACAAACCCCCAGTTTACATGGCTGATGTCAGAGCGTGACCTGTTGTGTCCTGGCTTGAACGTGGAGGCTTCCTCATTCTGCACCAGAATGTCACTGACTGAACGAGGCCTGTCTCTCCTCCGCTGGCAGATTTTGAAGATATTAAAAGTGGCAGTCTCCCCTTCCTCTGCCCAAGCAAGGTTGTCAGCAGCTGTTCCCCTCTGCACCACACGCTGGTCTTTGGCAGGGAACACTGTCTCAGCTTTGGTTTCCAAGACGCCATTTTTGCAGTGATCCCAGATGAGGCTACTTTTAGCTAAGGAGGCAAAATTCCTCAGGTTCCTGCTCTCTGTTATCTGATCAAATACCTCATGCCCAACCAGTTCAGGGACCTCTTGCACATCGTATACCTCAGAGGGCTGAACAATCTTTTCAAGCTTAGTATCAAAACTATTAAAAAAGTCTTCAGTCACTTCCAAGGCAGGGCTAATGTCATCAACCTCAAGAGCCTCCATACCCTGTGCTGCTGATGGGCCCGAGGCGTCGTGATACGTTTGGAGGGTACCACATCCAGGGAAGGAGCTATTTCACATCTGTCCTTGACACATCATTACTGTAGAGACAGTGAGGCAACTACATTCACCAACCACAACCCTAAGTGGTTGCAAGGAATCAAATTGACCTGCCTTCAAATGAGAGACTTAACATCCACTGATGAGGTGGGCTTCAGACCCTCTATGCAGTAAACACAGTGATGGAGAGCACCTGTAAAGCAAAGCAGAACATCACATCAGTAAGGGTCTCTTCCCAGATAAACATGCATAATCACATTACTGCTTTCACAGTCACAGTCCACTTGGTGTTACTTTCTTCTTCATTTGGCACTAACAGTATTGTGTACGAAGAAGCCTTTGGGGTTCCTGTTGTTCACTGTGTGTAAACTACGTATTATCACTTCTTGAACTGGAACATGCTGAGAGCAGGATGGAGCACCAGATAAAGGGGAACCAAAGAGATCCACTTATCAGCCAGGCTTCAGAAAGCTAGACATAGAGGTCGTCCTGACTAACACCACAAATGCAGTCACCTAAGGAATTATTAGTACAGGTTCCCAGGGGGCTACAAGAAAAAGTAGAGAAACAAAAGATTAGTAAAATAGGCCAACCAGCCTCAAATAGTTTTGCCTTTTTCTCCCAGATGTCTTGCACTCTCAATTTTAGGAGACCAAAATCAAATTTACAGCAGCTACTTTGCCTGCTTGTCTGCATAAACACAACTGTGGTATTTGCCTAACAAATCAATGCTATTGAGCTGCTGCAGAGCACTGCACATAGAGATTCCTCCTATAGTATCACTGGGAAGTTAAATGAAATAATGTGGCTACCTAAGAACCAGAAAGACAAAGCAACATACCAGCAAAACAAAATATATCATATCCTCCACCATCACAAACCTTCATAGCTTTATTTCCAAGCAGCTGAGTCGCTGGGAAAACATAAGAATAACCAAGGGCTTTAAGGCTGAAACTACTGAAAAGCTGTGTCGACCCACTTGAGCTCATGCATGTAAGGAGGAAGGAAGGGGGGTTTCTATTCCCTGTGGTGCAATAAGGGGGTGTCTCATTGCTGACTTCTGTTGCACCAAGCCTGCTGCCTTCTAACCTCTTCTTCATGAAGCTCCATCCACAGTGCTGCCATACCCAGGGAAGTATATAGTAGGTATGTTTAAACCGGAGAAATCAGTCAAATGCATGCAAGTTCTTGAGATCTGGAGACCGGGCACTTGTATTAGCAGAACAGCTCCCATGGCTTCTAGGAGAAATCACAGTACCTAGAGCCCATGCATGCAGAACAGCCTAAAGTCGGAGATACAAATCCCAGTTTTGACCACAGCAGCTCAAATCTTAGAAGCAGCAAAGCTGCATTAGCTCAGAGCTCTGCCTAGATTTAAAACACTCTTAACAGAACTAATTAGCCTGGGCAGGGCTGATAATTAGCAGTTCATTAACTTGTGAATGCTGCTGAACTGCTACCAGGACCCATGAAGATTTACACTTAGCAGGAAAAAACAGCTATTATACAGCATCAAACACACATAATACTTCTATAAGTCTATTAATTTAAGATTCTTAAGTCCAGAACAGTCTATTTGCCCAACTTTAAAGTAATTTAAACAGGCACCCCTTCCTACAGCAAGCCAGCAGGAAGAAGGAGACCAGAAGGAGACCACCCAAGAAGGGGGCACAGAATCTTGTAGCACAAACCAACCCCTTCCACAATCACCTGCTGGCTTTATCCCATCCCTGCTTCAGTTGTGGCCAGCCATGACACAGTTGTGTTGGAAAGCAGCAGCTCCCTCCTAACAGAACAGCAGTTCATGATCTCTGCAAACACACTCCAAGTAAATAATTTCCAAAAACAATAATCACATATTTAACTCTGGAAACTTCAAGTCTTTAACACTGGGATCTTTTCTCCCCTTATCTCTCTGCAAAGACTCACTTCACTAGCCGCCTAGTGAACCATGACCAGGGTAAATTTCAAAAAGTAAGTATAGAGTAGGACACTGAAGGTAAAGCCAGAACTGCAAGCAGAGGATGAACAAAACAGATCTGGAGTGGTTTCAAATCAGAACAGTATAGGAACAGATTCTTTGCAAAACTGTGCAACTGTGACAGTTAAGGCAGTGGAAAATAAAGTCACCCTGGTCACATCTGCCTTGTCAGCTTAATGCAGCATAGAGTTCACTCTTGAAGAAGATTCCTGCCAGCAACACTAGAAGAGCATTCTGCTCCCTGGCACCTTAGAGCTTCAGAGCACCAGGAACAGGCTAAGGCACATGCTGTGGTGCAACTTCTCTACTTACTCTGCATTCTCCTATGGCATATCTTTAAAGCAATAATGGCATTTTGAAGTTGCAAAACTGCAACACGCATTCACTTGATAAAACTGGCATTAACATAAGAACAGTGAAAAACTACGGGCTGGCCCAAACAAATATGCTGTTTCCTAAGGGGAAACACAGCAGAGAACAGGAGTCTGGAGCAGCAATTGCTCCAGAAGAGCTTGTGGCATGCCACTCAGGTGCTTCAGTGGTAGCAGATACAATGTAACTCTGTTATTTATTTTAAATAGTTAGGAAAGGTGGGAAGCAGGGGAATAAAAATTAAACTTACATTTAACAGGTTAATTTTTAAATGCTGGAGGCTTCATTTGGGTGCCTGTGTCTCTAGATCCTGTGAGACTATAGAGTTAGCCACTGTCATGTAGGAGTGTGATGATGCTGATCTACAAACTGACCTCATATCCAGTGGGATGCTGAATCACAAGGTCATGAGAAGATGACAGGCCTCTGCACCACACAGTTCAAAAACTGCAGCAATCATACCTTCCAAACTAGTCTGCTTGCCCTGTTCAATAAAGACCTGAAAGTTAACCTCAACACTGGCAGGCTCATCCTTTCTTACACTGCCAAGAACCTCCTTAGGTCAAAGAAAAAGTTGTGCCAGTAATTCCCACTAGTGCTGGGATTCTGCAATCACATATCCTCCGTAAATGCAATTTGGTGTTGTCTGACAGTGGTACTCAACAAAATTTTAATTTGGACTTCTGCACAGATTTGGTGCCAAATGAAAGCAAACTTTCATATGGCAGTGAACAGCTCCATCAGAATCTCCCCCAGGAGGGAAGGCAGTGGAAATCACTTCCTTCACATGATGGAGAAAAAAAGGCTAACAACAGCATAGGATGAACTTTAAAAATTACTATAAAACATATTGCCTTATGTATTGTTCCTTGGAAACACGTGACATTTTCCAAAGAAGCTCAGCTTAAGGCTATGAGTAGAAGAGAGAAGCATCAGCCCAAACTTCTGAAGACTACCAAAGCTATAGGGAATTTTAAGTAGGGTTTTGTCATGGGAAGGAGAGACCTAACAGCTCACCCAGGCCTTGGGAACTAGTCTTACTGAATAGGGTGAAGGAACATGGTGCATTGTACCTAGCAAAAACTGCTAGACACAGGGATTGCAGCAGCTGAAAAACATGCATTTCTTGATGTCTGTCTAGCACAGATACAGCTCTCATCCACAAACGTGCAGCAGTCAGATAATTAATATGCACTTACAAGATGAGGAAAGTCTTTACTACCACAAGTTTATAGTGGCCACATTACTCATACAGCTGAGGCAAACAACAAGGATTGCTGGTCATGCCACTTGTCTGAACTCAGTTTAGTCAAGATTACCTCCCTTAGAGAAGCCACAAGGACTTAATGAAGGTGACAGTACAGTCTGAGAGCAGAGAAAAACAACAGACAACAAATGCCAAGGAACATACACTGGAAGAGATAATTTAACTTCCTGATCTGCTTTTCTGGATCCTCACAGGCCAGTGACAATACCTAGGCATGACATGGCAAAAATTAAAAAGCACAGAAGAGGCAAGGGTAGAAAGCAATCTTGCAGGTGATACACACCCGCACAACATGCACTTGCTGTGTACCCCCAGCCTACACACTATGTTCAGGACTCTTCACTCTAGCTCAGGCAAGAAAGCAAGGTAGAGCCAGCAGGTGTTTAGGAACCAGGAGAGATCCATTTAGCTCACCAATCCATATAAAAAGTATATATATAAGAACCTTTCAGTTTGGTTTCCTAACAAAATAAGGTCTGTGCCACCATCCTGTATATCTGCCAATTATTCTCCTCTCTCTTTCTTTTGAACTGTACAGGGAACTTCAGCTAGGTGTGACAGAACAATAGTGTCCTTAAAGATGCAGTTCTTGAACTGTTGTTCAACACTGGACAGGAAAGAAGCCCAAACTCGCTGCCTGCTAAGAGAGAATCAGGCAAAACTTGGTCCCTTATCCATTCTAGAAGGCCAGTGTCACCACCTGGGTCTCTCCAAATTGGCCACAGTGTTAGTGTCAAGATCTGAAAACACTGGGAAGTGGAGGGCAAAAGCAGGAAGGAGGAATAGGAGGCATCACACAACTTGTAAACAGTCCTTTTGGTTTTGGTGCTCACAGGACCTCCTCTTCAGTGACCAAGTAGCAGAGATGTATAAAACAGCAAGGGGATACACACAACAGATAAATAGGGACTTCCGATTTTCTCTTGTATTTGGAGACAGAATTAGAAAGGAATAATCCATGATGTTCACAAACAATGTGTTCAGTAGGAAACGCATAAATGAGAGGAGCTCTCAGCTAGCAAAAAGGCACATAATAATGTTAAGAGTACTCTTGAGTCTCACCAATTCCTAATGATTCTTAGGGTCAAATTCCTGGCAAAGTTTTGCATGTTTATCTCCAGGGCACAAGAGGAGTTTACAAGTTACCTGTATGCAAACAGAGAGTGGGGGTACCTCAGCGACTGGAGAGCTTGCCCCATTCCCTCCTCAGCAACCTGGAACTTACTGTGGGAACAAGCTCTGCTTACCTTGTGCAGAATTGGAACTGTGGGTTCAAACTCCAATGCCAACAAGGAAAACAGAAAGAGAGGTTCTGAGTAACTG